GACCTGCTCATGCCAGAGAAGGACAAACAGATGGAAAAGAAATGTTTCAACATGATATGTAGATAGATTTATGTAAATGTATTTTGTACAGTGTGAAATGATCCATGATCGCCATGAGCTCAGCTGAGCAGGGTAACACTTGACAATAAGGTCCTATAATTAGCATTGCATTAACTAACAATGAGCTATTCAGATTGTATTACATACATTACAGTATTTATTAATGTTAGTTTTAGCATTTTTAATTCATGTTAGATCAGGGGCCTTAAATAATATTAATAGATACAACTTTTGCACTAATGTATTAGTAAATGCTGAAATGAACATTAACTAAGATGCTGAGATCTACAGTGTAAAACAAAGAATGATCTTGAGAGCCAACAGACTAGTGTCTTTCCCTCACAAACTACATTTCCCATAACGTTCCTGGACGCAATCATCCCTGATTGCATCCACCTGTGTCTAATAACCTTTGGTCGTCTCAGCCTATTTAAAGGGTTAGTTCACCCAAAAATGAAAATTCTGTCAGTATTTACTCACCCTCATGTTGTTCCAACCCCGTAAGACCTTCGTTCATCTTCGGAACACAAATTAAGATATTTTTGATGAAATCTGAGAGCTGGATCACTACTCCATACTAGTCCATAGGCTTCTTGAGGAATTGAAACTTGCCGGCCACGAAAAGTTATTAAAGACATCGTTAAAATAGTCCAAGTGACTTCAGTGGCTCAATCTTCACTTTATCAAGCGACAAGAAAACTTTTTGTGCGCAAAAAAACAAACAAAAACAACGACTTTATTTCAACTATTCACTTCCTTCTCTATGCGCCTCTAGTCAGTTAACGTAGTGTGATAGCGTAGAGCTACGTCACACGTAGGCTCACTATTGGCCGACGCTGGTCATGTGTGTGATGCGTGTGACGTACAATAACAGAAGCTTACGCTATTAAACTAGTAACCTGAATCGAGGCAGAGAGAGAAATAAACGAATAGTTGAAATAAAGTCGTTATTTTTGTTGTTTTTTGCACACAAAAAGTGTTCTCGTCGTTTGATAAACTTAAGATTGAGCCCCTGTATTCACTTGGACTATTTTAACGATGTCTTTAATAACTTTTCGAGGCCAGCAAGTTTCAATTCCTCAATTCCTTTCAATTCCTCAACCCTTTAAACCACGTACACTCACTCATTCTGTGTGAAGTCTTGTATGTTTAGTGTTACACTGCAATTCCAAGCATTCTCCCTAGTTCCATGTTTCTTGGTTTTGGATTTCTTGTTTGTTCTGTGGATTACTGTTTTGCTCGTGTTCCCTGGATTACTGTTTTGCCCGTGTTCCCTGCCTGTAATGTTTGTTTGTATGGACTGCCTGCCTGTGTTTGACCTTGCCTGTACTTTGGAGTACCCTGTTCAATCCCCGACAATATTTTGGGTAATCTCGAAAACCCGGGCAGACTCATCACGGAGAATCACTAGTAGCCTAGACTTGTTGTTTAACTACTGCGCTGTTACCGGTAGGTGTGGCCTCCTAGGGCAGCGAAGCAAGTGCATTCTGGGAGTTGTTGTCTTTCATCCACATAAGCCAAAAATACATTTTCTGGCTTTTCTCAGTCTAGAAAGCTCCAAATTCAAAAACAATTTCACATTTCTTCTACATAAATGACCCTTTTTAAATACACATTCATCTTCCCAGAAGTGAAGTATCCCTTTAAAGCTGTAGTATACGATGTTGAAAATCAGTCGAGAAAGCCTGAAACGGGAGGGACGTTTTAAAAAACTCATCCCACCTCTCCACACACACACACACACACACACCCCTCCCCTCTGCTACGTGATCCCTCCCGGGAAACGAATTGAACAACGTCACTCAGTCAAGTTGTGATCATCATACTTTCACAAAAATTGCTTAGTCGCTTCAATCACATCATATGTAAAATTGCCTTTAGACACTTGAACTTAGTTACTTCATCAACAATTCAATGACACGTTTGAGATCACGCCAACGCAAGATTAGCAACACATGAAATGTTCTACACTACCCACCACCATAACTATGATATTAGTAGTATTGCGAAGGTTTTGAGTAATTGTTATAGCAGCATACAGCGCATCTTGTTTAAATTCCGATCGGCTCAAACAGAAACCCGCTAGGCATACTGAAATATAATCAAGCACTTCAAGAAATATATTTACTTTGACCCATGATAGGCGATGCTAAACAGCTAACATTCCAATGCCGACCGGCAGAATTAGCAAGTTGTCAGACTAATAAAAAGTTATATATGTAACACTTCACGCGACTTTTACGAGTATAAATAAATGTTAAACGTTACCTGCGCAACCAAATGTAAGCAGTGTCAGCATCGGTATTCAGTCCCAGATCTCGCTGAAGCTTTCTCCATCGGTCAATGGTGGACCCTATATTTATTCTCCTCAAATTTAGGCATTCTTCACATTTTCTTGTAGGGGCAATCAGGGGACGCTTGCTGTTGTCTCTTTCGTTTTTATCCATCGCTGTTATGCTACTTAGCTAGCTACCATATGCGGTCAGCTGCTAACGCGCGCGATTCTCATGACGCAGAAGGGGGGCGCGGTCGGGCGTGGTCGGGTGCGGTGGGGTGGAGACGCGAGCGCCAGGCGGAGTTTCAAGTGTAGCTGGTGATTGGATGAGAGCAGTTGACCAATGTAGCTTTGCGATCGCAAAGCTTTCATTGGTCAACTTTTATGCGGCTGTACAGCCAATAGAGTGAATGGATTTTTTTCGTTCTTTTTTCTATTTATATTGTTAGGGTTGTACTATATAACTGTAACCAGCATATAAACGAGGATATTAATAATGAACAATCTTTGAAATCGTATACCCTCGCTTTAATAGCCGTCCAAACACATCCCAGACATCTAGGCTAAAACAAGGCAAAATTTGGGCTGTAAGTGAAAATTTAATAGATGTCTAAACCATAGCCCAGACTATAAATTAGATAACAACGAAATTTAATCAAACACCTTGTAATCACTGTTTACTTTGCTTACGTGATGGAATATCATATATCTTGCAAGTTATTTTGGCAAAACGACATGTAACCAAATTCAAGGTTATTTTGGCTTGAAGCAGGTTGTAGCAGGAAAATTTGAATTAAAAAAATTGGGCCTGATGTGTGTGATTCATGAGCTGTCCAGGGTACTGAACATTATTGCGTCTTCTGCTTCGATGCAGGGTTTGGCAGACACAGACACACATACCTGATATCTTCTTCAAGTTACCAAAATGATAATTGTAACACATACTTTTAATTTTTCTCACAAGGGCACTTTAAGTAATTATCGTTACTCATTATCGACAAATATTTAGATGTGCTTTAACTCAGTGCTCTACTTTCACCCTTACATTGTAGTAAAGCTAAAATGATGGTCAGCTATGCATTGTGAGGACAGAGCGTTGCTCTGTAATCTTGTTTGTTAGGGTCTGACGGGACACAGTGTATAATTTAACTAGACATTGAAGTCAGCATATACTGATCATATGAACTCTAGTTATGGTTAAATCTACTGAGTAACAACATTTGATGATGTTAATTATTACTAAGGCTTCTGTGAAAAACAATCTCAAAAACATTGATAAAATAAAAAAGAAATACAAACAAAATAATAGTAAATTAGAAAAACACGATATGAAGTTATCCTTTTGTCTTCGATGGATTGGTGATGGATTCCTATATTCCTCACCATATCATCTGCAGTTAAGAAATCAGATACACATGCCTCTGTTTTTTGTGCTGAACACAACACAAGCTTTCAACACCTAAAGGGAATGACACAAGCATTCTTAGGTAACAGTCAGTTAGTTACTTATCTCTCCCCATGGCAGGCCTCTGAAGGCCATCTGGAAAGATAAATGTATAATATAGGCCTTCTGATAAATGCAAAGAGAAATTATTTAACTTTTTAGCAATGTAATTGGAAATAGCTAAGATAGAAATGTAAGGATTTAAAAGAAAATATTTCAGATTTTTTTGGTCTAGTCAAATATGCCATACATTAATGTGAGATCTGTCAGATGTTCCTTTTATTGAAGCTCAAGATCCTTTTTGGGTGAAACATCTCAACTCATGCTGGAGACCTTACGTTCGGCAGGTTTAAGACAAATTTGTTGAGTTGAAGCAAAAAAGGGGACATACAAATATTTTTTTTTTAAATCATCTTACATAAACTGTTGTACTTATATATTGCAATAGCCTGTTTTAAATGTGACGACGGATTTGCGTTATAGTTATGTATTCATGTTTATGTTTATTCATGTGTATTCATCATAGACTGAAAAAGAATCAATGCATTTATCAATGTTTGCAATGCATTATTACTGCTACAAGTTTCACCCGCGTGTCTGTGAAAAGAGGAAGGATGTGCATGTGACGTCACCACCGGCAATGTAATATAATAACCAAAATGTCGGAGTTTTAAGGAATCTACTTGAAAAGTGGTTAACAAATGTTGAAATGTATGTCCGTATTCACATGGTGCCATTAAAAAGCACGCTGATAATGTAATCTTAATGATGAGTGAGCTCATACTGGAGACAGAACTAGAATAAACCTGTTTTAGCCGGCCGGTATAGCTCCTATCATGCTTCACGTGCACGAGAATTTCCTCCCCACAGCTCCCACCGGCACGCGCATGCTCGTGTCACGGTCACACTCAGTCATGCTATGATCCCCACAGTCTTGATTATTCAAAATGCTGTTCATAAAATGATTGATTAACAAAACTTATTATGAAATACTTTTATTTTCATACAACTATATTTCATTTTAGAGAAGGCTAGTGATGTTGCGGTCAAATAACACATTATTTAATTCAGTGCTGTGATATATTTGCACTTCAGACATATGAGCAATCTTTTTGGGATTTGTTTATGTGTTTAAACAGATTGGTGAGATAATCTAGCCAGTTCACCTAGTGCAATGCGCGTTCACGATTCAGTAGTACAGTCGCAGTAGCAGTCGCGCACGAGCTCGAATACCGGCTGAAGCCGGTATAAAATCTGCCAAGCTTCAGTGAGAGGAAACAGAGACAGGGAGCTGGCAGATAATACTTCATCTAGTATAATATCAGTATTTTAAGTAGTTAATGCAGTCGAACATAAACTAGGAAACGATATAGTTAAATATATGTCGCTCGGTTGTGACTACTAACGAATCGCGCTCTCCACAGGAGTGAATGCGGATGCTCAGGGCAGAAACGATGATCTCTGGTTAACACTTTAACAAAGAAGCCAGCTAGAGGAGAGCTGTTGGTTTTGTGTTTTCTTTTGAACATCCCGATTTTCCGCAGTTTTTCCCAACGTCTCGGTAAGTTAAAAAGATTTTTACCTGGCCAAAGTATAGCATTTGAAATGCCGTTTTTTTTCTAGCGCGTCGAAAGACAGATGCCCTTATTGCCATAAGTTAACGTTACTTATTGTGTCACGTGATGTAACTTACTATTTTATGATACTAAGCTAGGTCATTTATTGACGTAATTAATTAAATAATGCCTGTGTCATAGATCTTAATCACTGTCATATCCTAAGTTATATATATATATATAATGGAAATCGATGTCCCTGTTACACTTAATTTTCCGGGTTTAATAAACTTTAAAGTTACATACAAAATAGACTAAATTAAATTATGTTTTGTAATGTTCTATTTATTAAATGTCACCAAATTAGTGTTTTTATGCATTTTTGCATTTATTCAAAAAAAAAAATCACTAAAGCCTGTAACAATTTTACACAATATTATTTTAGTTCTGTTTTTTATAAATAGTCAGCTCATTTCAGCAGTCATCAAGCTTGTTCACAAGGTCACAGACAAGAATATGTACCTTTAATTTCCCTAAGCTGATTGCTCACAGTAAAAAAAAAAAAAACCAACACATTCATCATGTTTTCAAGTTTGATTCTGACATAAAGCAGTGATATATAAGTGGCTGAATTGCTTACTTACTTTTTCATTAGTCTTCCAATTAAAGGGTTAGTTCGCCCAAAAATGAAAATTAAGTCATTAAATACTCACTCCCAACACTCCCATGCTGTACCAACCCCGTAAGAGCTTCGTTCATCTTCGGAACACAAATGAAGAAGATATTTTTGATTAAATTTGAGAGCTGGGTCATCATAGACAGACACACACACACACACACTTATATATAATAATATGTACACATATAATATATATACAAACGTTTGTAAGATATGATTATTAGCAATATAGGCATTTATATATATTTATATATATGAAAGTGTTGCTTGACTCTGGCACTCCCTTTTTCTATAATATACCAACAGTGGTTACATAACAGGGATTTTATGCATATGGATTTGTAGCACCTTGAAAGGTAAAATAATCCAGGAGACAAGGCAGATTAAAGACAAGCTTGCAAACAAAGCCCGCTGTTAAGTTGACAAGAGGACACCATCAGAGCCAGTGTGGAAATGCATCCTATCTAAAACTCTCTGTACTTTCACTTTGCTTACTTTTATAGAAACGTCAGTGTCCATCATGTCAGGATTGATGTCAGCCCTGAAGGGCTGCACGAGCCCAAATGTGTACACTGAGGTGCCAGATGGAGGCTGGGGCTGGATGGTGGCTGTGAGCTTCTTCTTCGTTGAGGTTTTCACTTATGGCATCATCAAGACTTTTGGGATTTTCCTCAAGGACCTCATGAGAGACTTTAACGAAACCAACAGCAGAGTGTCTTGGGTTGTCTCCATCTGTGTCTTTGTCATGGCCTTCACAGGTAATTCAGTCTAAACATTTAAACTGATACAGTCTTATAGCACTAATTGTACCTCACAGTGTGTTTACACAATACAAATGGTGTTTGCACAAATGGTAAGCTCTACAAGTGAAACATACCTTAATGTATGATAACACAAGAAGATTGTTTTCTGGAGAACACTTTTGCAGTTTTTCAAGTTTTGCGACGCTAAACCAGTTTTCCATTGCTCCCTTTTGCTTTAACTCTCATTAAAACATCAGTAGAAGCCATTGTGTACTATGTTTAAGTTTCTTTCATTATCAATTCAGGTTTTATTCTACAGTGACCACAACTTAGAGTCTACATCAGATACACAACTCAGTTTTAGTTTAGGGAAGCTGATGGAAAATAGGCCATTATAAAAATACCAGGCATATCTCAAAAGAGTAGGTACAACTGAAATTAAGAAACAAGCTGTCATCAGATCTGTGATTTTCCTCTATTTCTCTTAGGCCTTAAAGGGATAGTTCACTCAAAAATGAAAATTCTGTAATCATTTACTCATCCAGTCGTTCCAAATGAAGATATTTTGAGAAATCTCTCAATGTTTGAGAAATCTCACAACCATGGATGTCAGTGGACTCCAAAAATGTTTGGTTACCAACATTCTTCAAAATATCTTATTTTATATTCCAAGGAATGAATAAAGTCAAACAGGTTTAAAGCGACATAATGGTGAGTAAATGATGACAGACTTTTTATAATTAGGTGAACTGTCCCTTTAAAACATATCTGGTCTTTCAGTGTGAAACTGTCTGAGAGCGAGCTGAACTCTGCTGTGAAAGGAATGCCGGCTGTTGTGATGGCTGACTAGAGATTCACTCACTTTGCCCAGTGACAAAGCAGCACCACCATTTCATTCAAATGTTTTCCTGCTGACAGGGAAAGATCATTCTTGTTCAAACAGAAGCAGTCTGAGAGTGAACCAAAGCAAAACTGCGGCTGCTTGTGATACTGTCTTATGCCCACCATAAATGGATAATTTAAGGAAGTGCACAGATCCACTGTGTTGTTTGTAATAGGCACCATCTTTCCCACAGCTCCTCTTTCCACTGTGATGAGCAACCGCTTTGGCTATCGGCCTGTCGTCATGTTAGGTGGGTTCCTGATTAGCCTGGGCACAATCACAACGGCCTTCACCAAAACCATAACTGAGATGTACATCACCATGGGAGTCGTTGCAGGTAAATAGACCTTCTGTGTGAGTTTATATGTGGGATACATATTTCGGGACCCTAATTGTTTCATAACAAAATATGTGAAGTTAATGAAGGTAGATTTATTCAGTATTTTAAATTTTGCATTGTGTTAATTTTATTGCCAGTGCTGCATGGTACTGAAAACATTTTTCCTCAGGGTGGTGTGGCATGACACTGTGAAAACTAATCATTTTTAATTTTTATTTTAAAGAAGAGACATTTTCCATGAATGGCATTTGTAATTTAGTTGTTTCGTTCTTTTTGTTTGAAGAGGCTTTGTAAAATTCAGCTTTACCATCACAGCAATGGATTAAATTAGCAAATATATTTCAATAAAAAACAGTTATTGTAAAGTGTTTTACAATATCACAGTTTTTATTGTATTTTTGGATCAAATAAATGCAGTCTTGGGGAGAATAAGAGCCTTTTTTCAAACACATTAATAAATCTTACCAAGCCCAAACTTTTGAACAGTATTTTCTGTAATAGCAATAAATAATTACGTTTTCTGTCATTTACCAAGATTAATTTATTTATTTATTACTGTATTTTCCTAGCAAGATGTTCTTTTTTCAAAGACTCAGATAGGGATTTCAAGCAGTGCTGTCTGGTATATGACTTGTTATCCCTGACACCTTTAAGCCCCTTTCACACACATAGATTCCGGAAAATACACAGATAATGTGTCCCGGGATTGTTTAGTGTATTGTAAGTGCATTCACACACATCCTGTAAAGATCCTGTAAGGTCAGGATGTGATAATGCCTGACAGATGTCATTTTCTGCAGAGAACTCCTCTTTGTCATTTCTACATGAAGACGAGTCCACACTCCCCAGTAGCGCCACTGGGTTTGCCGATCGGCTCGTTCCCCGTGTAGCATAGGTTTATAGAAAGGCCAGTGTGATTGCACCTGGCTTTTGTCCAAACAGGGCGCGTTCCTGGACTGATACCGGCAATGTTCCTAACCTAGGTCCCCATCCTGGCATCGATCCCAGTACGTGTTTGTGTTCACACAGAAGGCACTCTATCAATTTTTCGCCAATTTCCCGGGATGAACACGCTGTGTGAAAGGGGCTTATGTAACACACTCTTATTTAACATGATGAATTTATATAGCGTTTTTTGAGGGGAATGATTTCATGAGTTGACATTCATGCGGTAACACATAAATTGACGTTGATGAGATTCAAGCAACATTATCCCAAAGTGAAATTGTCTTGTTTCAATTTCCTTCTTCAAAGAAAGCTGTAGAACACTTTAGATGGTAATTTAAATATCTCACAATGCACATTTTCAACACCACAATATAACACTGCATTTTATTAGAGTTAAAACTCTTAACTGAACGAAACTTGCACTGATATATCTTAAATTATGTCAGTGCCTCAAGATCACCAATGTTTTATTCCCAAGGCATGTTCACTTAAATGTCCTAACTGAACTGAAGTCTAATCCTGGCTTAATGTAAGCCATTGTCTGTGAAACCAGGCCAATATGTTTGAATATTTCATTTTTACTAAATAACATATTCACACTCTAGGTAATCAGTCCACATGTCCCTCTTTCATTGATTGTTCCAAAGGGCTGATGTTTTCTACAAACAAAATTTGAATTATGACCACATTATCCTTTTGGGTTACACTTTAGTTTGAGGTTTTAATTCTCACTATTAAGTAGGATATTGGCTGTTCATCAGTACTTATACAGAACATATTAATGCCCTTTTCTGCATGACTATTTTCAACATCCCTTAATCTTACCTGATACCTAAAGTTAACAACTACCTAACTTACTAACTTGAGTTTATTGTGGCAAAAGTCATTAATAGTGAGAATTAGACGCTAACTAAGACCCTTTTTCCAGATTTTCCCTAAAGATGCACTGCTAGCTTTCCCCAAAATTCAAAACACTCCCTTTCCGCCACTATTAGTTGATCCTAACCTTGCCGATCTTCTCCTTGTCTCTTTTTTTTTTTTGTCTCTTTTAAATACAGTTTTCTTTCAGCCCTTTGTCAAGTTTGTCCCACGGAAGAGAGTGGCCTGGTTCTTTGCGCACCTGAGCCCGTTGTGTTGAAGAGACCAGTGGCTGTCATCTCCCTCTTTACTATTTATTTACAGGCCTGGGCTACTGCCTTACCTTCCTGCCTACAGTCACCATCCTGTCGCAGTACTTCAGCAAGCGCCGCTCCCTCGTCACATCCATAGCCTCCACTGGAGAATGCTTCTCCCTGCTAGCCCTCGCGCCAGGTATGATCGACAGGGTTGTGCAACAGATTCGTTTGGGTAGTTCACACAAAATACAAATTGTGTTCTTTTCTCATCCTCATGTTTTTCATATGAATGTCTTTCTTCTGAAGAAGACAAAAAGATATTTTGAAGGATATTGGACTTTTGTTGTTTGGACAAAAAAATAGACATTTTTCAAAATATCTTCTATGTTCCACAGAAGAACGTCAGTCATTAGCCAAGCATGCATATAACATGATAAAAGCCTATTTGGAAGTCAAATAAATTTGAATAGTCATAAAAGAGTTGAGCTTATTTTTCACAGAAGGACCTGGTTAAAAACGTGTCTTTATTTGAATTCATGTTGCAGCTCTGAATGCACTGAAGGAGCAGATCGGCTGGCGTTACTGCTTGATCATTATTGGGGTTATGCAGGCCTCAATCATTGTCTGTGGGGCCCTGCTGAAGCCAATAGTCATTAAACCCGAACCTGCCACACCAGAGGGTTCCACATCCCCCCTTAAAGAACCTGAATCCAAATATGATCTGGAGAACGAATTCACACACACCTCTATTGGCTCTGTGGACTCAGGGGTCCAGTCCGTCACCTCCTCGCAGATCAACCTGTCTGGCCTGGAATCTACAGAACGGTACTCTCCAGAGAAAGAAGCACTTAGGAAAAAAGAGGAAGGAGAAAACATTGAAGACAAGCTACCAGTGCTACCTGAGACTGCAAGGGTCTCCAGGCCCAAGCTGTTGGACTTCTCCGTGCTCAAGGACGCCAGCTTTAACTGCTACGCACTGTTTGGCCTGTTCGCCACGCTGGGCTTCTTCGCTCCACAGCTCTACATCATTGAGCTGAGCGTGAGCCGAGGCGTGTCACGTGTCAGCGCCACCTACATGCTCTCGGCCATGGCCGTGGCTGAGATTCTAGGTCGTCTGTCCATGGGTTGGGTCCTCAATCGCAAACCAATTCGCAAGATCTACATCCTGCTGATTTGCACAGTGCTGCTGTGTCCGGTGCTGGTCATCTTCACCTTTGTAACTGAGTTCTGGGGGCTCATGTCCTGCTCCTGTTTCTATGGCTTCCTGCTGGGCACCGTGGCCTCCAGCCACATCCCCATGCTGGCTGAAGATGACGTGATTGGCATTCAGAGGATGTCATCAGCTGTTGGTGTCTATGTCTGCATCCAGAGCTTTGCAGGACTGGCCGGTCCACCTCTAGGAGGTAAAAACAGCTTCTGACAACTAGCAAACAGAACAGGGGTTTATAAAATAGATGAAGATATGATGGGACCCCTTACTAAAATAGCAAATTAAATATTTAGCAAACTAATAGCAGCTAAATATTTACATGCATGTAAAATAACATTTTAGCACGTGTCTGCATGTGCATGGAGTAATCAGAGATGCTAACGCTAACACACACTCTTGAAGCTCCACCCACTGTGTCGGAAGCTACAGCTCATTTGCATTTAAAGGGCCAGACACAAAAAACGGTGCGTTTTTGCTAACCCTCAAAAAGTGACAACTTCAACATGCTATATAAAAAATATCTGTGGGGTATTTTGAGCTAAAACTTGATTTATTTTACATCTTTTGAAAAGGACATTATACCACCCCTTTAACTTTGATAGCCCTAAAAAATACATTTTGTAAAAAAAAATTCTTTCAGATTTTTCAGTGGAACCCTATAAACCTCTTCGGTCCCCTGACCTAGCATAAACTCGAATTTTGTTTACAAAGTTACTAAAGTTTTGATTTTGCCTCCACCACACATTTATGTTAATCTTGGTGTTTCAGGTTTTCTGGTAGACACGACTGACAATTACGGATCAGCCTTTTACTCCTGCGCAGCTGGGATGGGAGTAGGGGCTCTGTTTCTTGGACTGGTGCGTCCAGCCAAATCCGGATTCTGCCTTGGGAAGAGGAGAAGTGACCAGCGAACACCAGACAGAGACTCTACCTCACAGGGAAGTGATGATGGCACTGCTGACTTTGTAGAAATGGACATGGAGACAGACAACAGTCCAACGAAGGGCAAACCCTGGCCAGTATGAATACCGCCTCACCTCAAGAGTAAACATGCTCCTTATCTTATCCTCCACTTGAATGTCGTCCCAAAGGTCGCAATACACAAAATCCCTGTTCCAACAGGGCAAAACAGTCACAAATCAAATGTTTAATCGCTCTTCATTGCACTTATGCTGAACACCCAATCATAACCAAAACAAGTTTACATTTTTTTTGTGTTACTCGTTATTATTTATTGAAACAGGGAACAAGACTCCTTTGCATTCATTCTGTGGTAGTGCCCATACTATGGTCTCCACACACTTTTAGACAGGGCAAGAATAAACCTATTAAGCGTTCAATTCTATAATTCTCATTTACCAAGTCTGCTAAGTGCGAAGCTGACTATTTATTTCATATTTATATTGACCAAAAATCACCACAACGCTCAGTTCTAAGCTTTAACATCTAAAAGATGAAACCTCAGGCTGTTTTGCTGCTTACAGTGAGGCCATGATGCGTATTAAACTGCATCAGGTTGAATAAACCTCATTCAAAGTTAAAGCTGAGACAGGTACGAAGCAGTCAAGTGTTGCACATTATTTGCTTGCTTGGGTCTATTGTTTAATGCAGCTTTGATGATTTTCACCACTTATTTCCAAACATTCACTATTATAGATGATGCAGATTGTGAAGTCTTCCATCATCAGACAGAACATGTTGAATGAGGGATGAATTATGCTGACAAATGTCAAAGGCCTCTGAATTCCTGCTCGCAGATGCTGTCTACTTAGAAACACATTCAAGAGTTTCTTATCAAGTGGCGAAAGAATGTCATGTCACCGCTGTAATTTGGGAGTTTGTGCCTTGTCCAAAGACTCTGCAGAATCGAGAGCTTGTGACTTGAAACAGGAAACTAAAGGGGCCGTTCACACAGAACGCGTTCTTGCGCTTAAAAGCGTGAGATCCGGTGTCTCTCGGGGTGAGTTTTTAAAAAGGTAATTTATAACTTGACGTGAGACGCTGAAAACGCCACATGAGGCGGTGCTACAGTCAAAATGTCAGTCCAGTAAAAGTGACCATTTCATGGTCATTTTTAAATGGAATATTGCAGTATTATAATTACTTTTATGATTATCTTTGATCAAATCATTTCTTTTCTTCTCTGATGACATGTTTTACTGGCACAACAGAGTCACAACATCACAATCCAATCAATTCCTGACAAAGTCCCGCCCTACATTTTTTCTTGTTCAGGAAGCTATTTCACTCGAATATACATCACAGTATTGAAGAAAACACTATCACAACTTTGTCTTGTCGACTTTAAAAGCAACATAGTGGAACGCAAAAAACAAAACAAGATACGGTCTCGAGACGCGTAAACCGATGAAATGAATGCAGCTCAAGAGACGTCCGTAACGAGCATCACAGTGGAGTGTGTTCTGTGCGAACTGACCCCAAACACATAATATTGGATCAGTGTATCATGACTCAAAAAATGGAGTGAATTTAAATGCAAAAAGAATTAGATATATTCTAGCATATGAATTTAGAGAGGTGTAAAGTCCAGGGGTCAGAAAGTAAAAGTCCTGCCATATGTTTATTCCACTCATGAACTCGGCCAGCTGCTTTGACTAATTAGTTCTCTCTCTCCTGGCTGAAAAACTGCTAATTAGCAAATCTAGGTGATTGGAACAAAATACTGTGGAGGACTTTTACTTTCTGAACCTGGACTTTACACTTCTGGAGAGGAGTCTGTCGGTAAATTCCATTACTTGAACTCTTATGTACCTCTTATGTTCTGTAAACGTAATTTGTCATTAATGTATTTAAACACTGTTTATTTGGGTTTTGTACTTTTTATGAGGTGTTATGTGCCCCTTTTTCTTTGATTTGTTCAAATCTTTTTTTAATGTAATGTAGACTTCTGCCTGTGAGATGCTGCACTTCTTCTGAATAGTTTGTTTAATCGTGTATAATAAACAATGATTTTTATAATCAGGATTTTTCATTCCATACGTTTCCTCTAAAATTGTCAAACCTTTCTGTAGCTTTTTGCAGACCATTTTTAACAAATTGATTATACACCATTATTTTGGGTATATAGTAGTCACCAGTAAATCTTATTTTCATTTTTTTTTCTCCATTGGTTTTCTCAAGTGGTGACATGCATTTACAAGATGAGAAGAAACGTCAAACGCTTTATAACATGCACATATTCACCTCTGAAACATCAGTTTGATACTGTAATCGTGTTTTGATGTCAGTTGAATGATCACCAAACGGCCACTTGAAGTCTGATTTAGAAGATAGTTTGTGCCACTCGAACCAGCAACAGAAAGCAGCAAACACATTCGATGTGAAAATATGCGCCTTGAACGTATTCAGTTGTGTTCGGCAATCACTAAAGGATTACCAGGAAACACTCTGCTTGAAATTTCTGCTTTATGCCCAGCTGCACTACTTCCTGAACTTCAGCCAGCTCCTTGTTTCCTGTCTGCCATTATTGGCCAAATTGATTAATTCAGGTGTGCTTGACCTCAGTAGTCATGGCAACAATAATCAGACACAACTGAATTAATCAATTTGGCCAATAATGGCAGACACCAAACAAGAAGCTGGCTGAAGTTCAGGAAGTAGTGCAGCTGGGCATAAAGCCAATTCTTTGATTATATATTTTAGAAAACTCTAGGGGCAGTAGTCTGGAAATAAAATATTTTTTCCATACTTATCAAGACCTGGAAATGACTCAGGAATGCTGTATAATGGAGTCCTTGCTCAGTCATTTTTGACTGCCACTACACATGTTTACTTGAAGCAGTCACATGACACCGGATAAAGTGCCGAGTCATCTCGCTCTGCTGCGGAAGATAAGCACAGCACATGCAGTTGGAGGAACCTCTATGGAGTCAATAACGCCACATAGTTTTGCAAAATTCTGTGCAGTAGGGTGGAAAAAACTAGTGCCTAGTATGTGTGGAAACAGTCCCAAGCTAATAGCCATTCATAGTTTAAAGCTTGGTTACAGTCAAACTATTGTTTCGATGTAGTAGCTACACTGCTGGCTATGTACTTGAATATTTGTCAAAACAAAAGAGAAATATTGCGGAAGCCCTGAACCGCAAGGTGAGAGAAAAAAAAAAGAAAAGAAAAAAAGAAAACTTCTCATTATTTCGACTTAAGTCGTTATACGACATATCATGTTATAACGACTTAAGTCGTTACTACGACATCTCTCGTTATTTCGAGTTAATAAGTCGTTATTTCGACATAGTATCTTGATATTACGACATAATATCTCCTTATACCTTAAGTCGTTATTTCGACATATCTCGTTATTACGACATAAATATATCGTTATCAACATAAGGGGCACATTCTAATATGCATTAAGCTACATTTAGCGTTCTTATAAGCCCTTAAAGAAGTACATAATGCACAGACACAACTGATTTTATTCATCTGCATTATATATTGGACATGAATTGGCACTAACTGCAGATAAAACTAAAATTACACATTTCCTCTGGAACGCCTTGCACCACTGACTAGTAGTCAATCTTGGTTTCTGGACAAATTATAATAATTGTATGTAGCAATAACATGTCAAATTTCTAATTATATTATGATTCTTGATGATGTTCTTACAAGGATGCTTGAGATTTAATATAAATGAAGCTCATTTATATAAAATCTGAAACATTCCTTCAAGAACAGTGTGAAAATCCATGATTTATAATATTATGAGTGTAAAAAACTATTGTTTGTAAAGTCCTATATTTTAAATGAAGAACTGACTAAAACCCTGGCTATATTTGGTATAACACTACAACCTAGTGTTCACAAAGTGGAATAGCACTTTCAGCATAGTCAAAATATTTGTAGAAATTAAAACAAGCTGCAGAATTACTCAACCGTAGTTAATCTGAGCCAAATAATAATAAGAATAAAAAAAAATCATCAAATGACAGTTTTTGCAAAATGATTTTATTGAGTCAATGATGAAGAATGAGGAAGCATAGGTTAGACTGTACAATGAGAAGCAGGTCTATATTCAGTACGGAGCACAACAGTCTTAATCTTTAGAAAGAATTATTTCGATGAGGACTCATAAGCATCCACATTAATCAAAATTCAAAAAACCTAAGTACAAGAAATGTCTGAGGCATCAAACTGGAGGCACTAAGAATCCTTCGTGGCAGGCATGCATCTTGCATAATTATAATCAAACTTGATTATCTGGGCAAAACTGAAAAGGGCAAATCAGCCACATCTGATCAGAATCACGTTAAGGAGAAAAGCTACAGTGAGAAAGACGATTCTTACAGGAAGAGCAGAGAAAACGTTTCTCTCTCTCACACGTCACAGTGTACGGAGGAGGAATACAGCTAAAGTAGTGTATCTATCTGCAGCGTCGCCCTTCCTTTAAACGTGTCAACCGTTAGGAGACGACAGAAACCGATGCGCTCCGATAGAGGCGCTGTGCGTGTCGGTGGGTGACAGCTTTTGTCCTCCACCTGTCAAAGCTACGCTAAACAGTGACATCATTTGCAAAAGCACTTGGGTTCACCCTCAGGACTCTCGCAAGCAGGAAGTCGTGGGACTCATAAACGTCCTCAAGTCGTTCCTCTGGGTTTTGGCAAGTGCGCAACACTTGCTTTATTAAGTTCAAAGGCAGATAATACAACGTTTTAAGACTCGGCATGCTAAAGCCAGGCAGAAAATACTATAGGTCATTCAGCATTCTCAAATGACACCGAAACTCGTTCGAATCAGTCAAAATCTTGTGCTTGGAACACGTTGAGTTTAAGTGAAAGTCGGATACTAAGACGGCAACAAAAGCTCCGCAACGCCCAGTTGGCTGGCATCGGGGGCCGTGAACGGCACTAGAAGACACAGGACACGGCCAGTGGAGCGTGAAGACGTAATACTTGCTTTTCACGAGCCTCCCGGGACTTAAGCCAGGGGAGTAAGGCAGAATTCGACACCAGACAAAGAGTCCTCTACTGCACTACAGCCATCTGAATGCATAGACGACATATACAGGCATCATTCAGCGCAAAAGCTGAGATGAAGCAGCCAAAAGCGCTAAAAGAGCAGCCTTGAATGGGCCGAACTGCCGGCAGGGAGTCAGTATCTGTGGATTTGTGGCAAATACAGCTATACATTTCAGTGTAGGTTACAAATCTGTTAGAAAAGAGTGAGGAGGGTGAGGTGCAGACTATTTACATAAAATACTTACTACAACGGTAGTATTCAGGGCGGACATGGCACTATACAAAGTAGCTATACACAACCGTTGAGGGAACGAGGTTCACATCGCAAGATCTATCCCTTTTGAGGAAAGTTGTTCGAATTATTGGTACCTTAAACACGTGGCACTTGTGAATACAGACGCTTTTGTTAGCGGGATCGGACCGAAAAGCCAGTATAGTTTGGTTGTGGATTTAAAAACAAAGCAAATAAATTAACAAGACACTGTTTTTTTGTTCCCTGATGGATAAAGAAGTTCTTCCAGACTCTAGCTAGGGCAGAGAGGAGGAGGAGGAGGAGGATGTCTGCAGGCCAACGAGGAAATGTGATTTCCAGCCACTGATGGAGAGCTACAATAAGTGGATGTTCCTGAAGGCGAACAGTTAAAGTGGTCTACATTCAGCCCTGAGTTTATGCTGTATGCATACTGTATCTATCAGCTCGCCTAGCGTGGCTAACCACAGTTTAAGTTCAAGTGGTATGAATTGTGAGCGTTGTCCATCAGCAGAGGAAAATCAAGAGTGTAAACGTTTTGGAACATAACTTAAGAAGTTTATCTGTAAATATATTCATAGATCTATATATATCTATATATAAAAACTGATTCTAAAATTTTACAATTGATTAGACATCTAGACGTTAAAAAACACCAATCAAAATGAGGAGGGGGAAATTAAGGCCAGGCAGGTATCGACAGAAAGGCTCAGAACATGGTTCCTGTTAAAAGGTTAAAACAGCATTTGCATCTCGTCTTGCTATTTGGTCAGTAATAAAAGGCTCAAACGTAACAGATCAAAGACAGTGCTAGAATCTCTTCCTGCTTTCTTCCACTTTTTGAGGGAGGAACGCATTGCGTCTGGCACCTTTCGGCGAGGGGGTGCCGCTCAATGACACACGTACAGCTTCTCTTGGCAGGACAAGTGTGAGTGTAATGCACTCTTTAAGAGAATAACTACCCGCCGTCCCGTGCTCGTGACAGACCGCTAGGCTAGGCCGTCGTCTTCCTCGCGTAAAAGCACGTCAGAGCTATTCAGAAAGGTTACTGTGTGGAGTACAAACATCTGAGCAGAAGAGGGTTATTTTGGGTAGACGTCTGAAAGGAAACGGTCGGACAGACATCACTGCAGCATGAGCTGTTTGAGGTTGTCGTGCAAGATGGTGTCCTTGACGTCACGGAAGACCAGGCGAATGTTCTCTGTGTTAATGGCGGTGGTGAAGTGGTGGTAGAGGGGCTTCTGCTGCTGGTCTCGCCGCTTGTTCCGGAAACAATCCACCAGGAACTTCTGCACGTCCTCCAGGCTGTGCGGCTCCCCTGTGTACTCGGGGAAGTAGTCCTTGATGGCCACCGTTTTGACCTTCTCCTCAAGCAAATCTGTCTTGTTGAGGAAGAGGATGATGGAAACGTTGCTGAAGACGCGGTTGTTGACTATGGTCTCGAAGATGTTAAGCGACTCCATGAGACGGTTGGTCTGCCGGTCCTCCATCAGCACCTGGTCGAACTCGCTTGACGAGACAAGGAAGAGGATCGAGGTGACGCTGTCAAAGCACTCGAACCACCTGCGGCGCTCCGACCGTTGGCCGCCCACATCCACCATCTTGAAGGGCACATTCTTGATCTCAAAGTCGTACTCGTGAATGCCCTTGGTGGGCTTGCGTGCCAGCAGGATGTCTTGCTGTGATGGTAGATACTCCTGTAGAGAGAGAGAGAGAGAGAGAGAGAGACAAAGGGACAATCTAGCATTTATCAGAGATGACGAGAAGGGACAAAACAGAAGATTCAAAGCAAAATTTAAAAGGGATTTCAAGCAAGCATAAAACAAAAACAAAAAAAATGCATGTTATTCTATTTTTGATGTTCATTATAAAAAGACTGTGGTGTAATGAAGCTGGTGAGCTCCCACTGGCACTTGATTCGTGGTGGAACGAGATTTGCATGTGGTGGACGATGTGTTATTAAATCATTTCATGCGACAGAAGTTTGCATACCACACATCTGATCGATACCATATGAAGTCTATAATACGCTACACAACTGTGTGTACAGTCTGAAAAGATTTGAAAACACTAGATGTCAAACACGAACACTTTCACTTTGTAAATGGTTAGAGAATATCGGACTTTTTCTACACTTTTCTGTAAATACTGCAACTCTGACAGGCTGACTAGCTCTGCCTTTGGGGAACTAGTATTGACTACAGACATTCTAGACAAAATTTGAGTAGTCTATTCTAGTCTTAAATTAATTAATTCAGTAGCAACTGTCAATTCTTAAACATATTTTACTGAAATTAAAGGGAACTTAACTCAATTAGAGAAAAATTCAAGAGAATTTAATTTAATTAGAGAAATGTAAAAATTTAAGAGGTAGAAACAGTGTTTATAGAAATACAGATACAACGGGGTGCAAAACTCAAGACTACACTGGGATATTTATTTCCATTTAAACATGTAAATTACGAATAAGTTAAACAAAATTAAAGTTGACAATGAGAAATAAATAAAAAATTGTAGAGACATTCATGATAATTTTTTACTGGTAAAATTGCAATGCTAATATTAACATTTTTGTAAATCAAACATTTTTTTAAAATTAAAATAAAGGAATGTGATCTCAGAGTTGTGGACTCCATTGTATGATCTCATCATGGTTTTCCTTACCAGGAAAAAAGGCAGATAAAACTCAAACAATAAATCAGTGGTACTTAACTCAAACTGTGGGGACAGGACAACCAGGGAAAAAAAAGCAAACAACTATTATGGCCAGGCATGGCTCATTCTCCACATTGTTGGAATACCAGAGTTGGGGGTTGGTGAGGGACAACATTAGCAGAAAGGTGAATCTGGATCGAAGCACTGACCAAAACAGAGTGTGGGGGCAAATGCACACAAAACGCATCAGATGAAACTCTAGACTAAAGTAAAGGGCAAGACACATCAAGTCGATACGTGAAACTATGCTCAGTGCTAGCACATAAAACCTGAGAAACATTTCTGAAATTCCAGATAGGATAACATCAAAGACATCTGCCTTGAATAGATAAGGCATCAAACATGGCGGTACTCATGTCTGGATGCTAAACCCATGGAGAAGTTGCATTATTTGTAGGGCTGCACGATTAATCGCAGTTTCAATGTAATCGCATGTATTTGGCTTATCACAATTTCGAAATCGCAAAGGCTGGGATTATTTTGTATGCACAGCTTGTCATTGACAGAAACAAACTGACAATTTCATCAGTTTATGGTTTGCCAACAGACTGAAGTATGAGTCAAAATTATTATCATGCGGTAGATGCTGTCAACAGAGCTTAAGCAGCATCTGATAATGATTTAAGATGGGGGTGGGCGATATGACCATTTTTTTCAGGAAACTCACGATTCAAAATTTTAATCACGATTCATTTTCATGTTTGCTATGTTATTAAGAAGAACAAATATAAAAACAAAACTGCAAAGACTTCACTGCATGAATTATATATTGATTCTTATTAAAGCTACTATTAAGGTACTCAGTCAACAGCGGTTAATTGTTTTCTCTGTTTTGTTGTGTTATATTAACATCTAAAGGATAGTTCCCCCAAAAATGAAAATTGTCATTTATTCAAGTTGTTTTAAACACAATTACGTTTATTTCTTCTGTTGAAATAAGTAATTTTGAAGACTAAGGTTTAAGGACATGTGGCAGCATGTTTACTATTAGGCTACAGTCACTTTAAGACCGGCACGCACCCAATACATGCATATGACATGCACCCGATTTTCTCTCAAATGTTTGCTTTCACTTTATACATACTGTGTTTATTTGACAGTATTAGCACAATAAGACACGATAGATAACTTAGTCCAGTAACCAGGCACTGTTTGGCAGACTTTTAAGTGTATAGTGTGTATATTCATATTTAAGAACAATGCGTCAGCACGCAAAATAAAATGTTTAAGCGGCAAGGCTTTAAAGCACATGCAAATAATGAATTGTGAATAGCAGTGTCCCGTGACTATAACACTACCTCTGTGTTAATATGTAATGTGAATGTAAGTTGCATTGTACACACCATGTTGGGACGAAGGGGGCAGAACTGCAACTGATTGAATGCACTGCAGCATGGTCCTACGATATTTCTTCAAAAGCAGATCATAGAGATATTTTAATCGTCCCACTATCAACAATCGTGATGTCGCACACCCCTACTTTAAGATGTGAAATAGGGATTTCTAGTCATATGAAGATGAATAGCATTTTCCATTGAGATTCAATCTTATGTTCAATCAAACACACCTCTCCCAGAGACATACTCCGCATGCCTGCATTTTGTTGCCTAAGGTAACCCTTCTTCCTCATCTCTTCCTAAATATTTATGAGTCTGGGCCGCTGAGGTCTGTCTCTCCCCAAACATTTGCAACTGAAACAAACACATACTTTCCAACAGAGTCAAGCGGCCATTTCCCTCTCTGAGCACACTCGGAAGCGTGCAGTATTTCCTCTTCCTGTTTGTTGATGGTGTGATTGCAGAAGTGGGTCCATACTGCTGTGACGTGGCCGAGTGAAGAGTAGCCAGTCTGAGGCGTGCCACCCGGACCGTAGCGCATTCAGGTCTGCTTCCTTGTTCCCCAAACAGAAATTTAGTGTGCCAGACATGAGACGCGAGACTGAACGACAGCATGACGTCAAGGAGCAAAATAGAGTAAGAATATGTGGGAAACAAGTGACTGGTCCTTTCAGTCTCTCTTCCAATCATGGAATTAGTGCTTTAAACAATATGAACCAGTGTGACTGTTTTCATAAGCCGTGAATAAAAAACAGGTTATCTGATCTTTCGTTCTAGAACAGAGCTTCTCTGGAGTCAAAGCTGAGATACTAATCATCACATTTACTGCAGTCAGCAGCGTCTAGAAAGAGCACAAAACCACAAACATCCGTTCAGTACTGAGAGAAAGAACATGAGCGGCAGGCGGCAAGTCACATGATGCGGAGGGAACTGCACTGGGCCCTCGTGCATCAACCAGACGCTGTGACAGCTGCAGTCTCAAATGATCGTCAAAAAACTAAATTTGTCAACACACTGAAAGAGGGTTGTGATTATTTTCTATTACTGATGTCCAGTGTTGATTGTTAAGCAAACATACAGCATATTTCATCATTCGTCATCAGTGTGATCACATTAAACGAGTTTAAATGGATTAAATGAGGGAGCAAGAAAACCCTCAGGTCATCCCTAATTACACAGCCTCATGACAGTGTATTCTTCACTGATTCTTTCAAATAACCTAAAGTAAAGAGAAAAGTTGCTATAGGAAGTTATGAGATAGGGTTGACACGTGACCTTTGATGTCAGCAGAGCGAGTTTCACTTCTCTGTATGAGCTGACTGGTGAGCAGGGAAACCCTGTCAAGGCCCACAGCATTGTGAGAAAAAACAGATGGGCATTCATCTTTCTGATATTGCCATTCACTATTTCCTTCATGCTCTGCCGTATGAAGGGATTCATCTAAGACTGCTTTGACTGACAATATAAAAGAGCTCTTAGTCTTCAGCGATGCTAGCCGTTTCTGTACTACACTTAATCATTCAATATGAAATGGATCAGTCTAATGAGAATGCAAGTACAGGCTGAGATGTTTATTTAATATGCACTGGACAAACTTCATAAGTACTCCATAAAACAAGGATCCTAATTTCTATTCTGGAACTACTGTCAATATTCATCCAATACATTTCCAGGCCCATATAAAATGTATGCTTGCACATTTTATCAGAATTTACAAAACATGAATGCATCTTTAGAGCTTTTCAAACTTCAAATATTTAACCCTAGGTCATTGTACACCCCATGTAAAGTAAATTCTGGGTTATCTTGCTTCAATGTTTTACATTGCATATCATTTACAAGGGGTTAATTAATCCGCTGTATTCATACGCTGCTATTTCATACTGTATACTCCTAAACCCTGGGTTAACAACCTTATTTGCATATTTGCGGTGTTAGTGTCACTGCCTGGAAGAAACACCACAAAACAAGTTCTCCAGAGCAGGTTTCATAACACTAGCTAAAAAGTGCTAAACCAGCTCCTTATTTTTGTTTAGAACAAAAATAACCTGGGGTTAAGCGCAGTTTAAACCCATTCAGCAGAACTCCCTCTAAAATGAGTGTATTTGATTGTTGATTAGCCCCACCCCAAAAAATGAAAGTGCACTAAATTACTGAGAAACAATCATAAATATCAGGTCTCTAAAAAACATGCAACATCAGCACAGACAGAATGATGACATACAGCTACATGCTTACCGGTGTTCCGAGTTTGTCCAAGTTATCCAAGAAATATTTCACAGATTCACCCTGAGAACGACAAAGAGCAGAGAGAATCAGTCAGGTTATCAAAGAACTGTAAAGTGACAATGAAAACAGCTGAGCACAAATGAGTCATACAATCATTAGTACAGAAAGTGAATTGAGGTTCATTTCTTCAAAATTAGATTGCTCTAGATGAATTTATGCGCTTGTGACTGACAAAAAGGTTATTAGAGTAAAATGTTGTCAAATAAACTCAATCAGCGAATTAGCTTATTATTAGCTAATAATTAGCCAGAAGCTAATTATTTTTGCTGATAAAGTTTTAAATGAGGAAGAGCAAGGACGTTTTTTAATATAACTCCTGATTGTATTCGTCTGAAAGAAGAACGTCATATACACCTAGGATGGCCTCCGGGTGCATAAATCATGGACTAATTTTTTTTTTGGGTGAACTATCCCTTTAAGGAAGAACACACTTAGGCACACTCTGGTTTGGAAAATGAAAATTGTTAGTAACAGGAACAAGCCGCCCAGGAAACAGTAACAGGGCTTGAGTTAATGTTCTGTGACGCTCAGATGTATAATGGGTTGCAATTTCAACAGTTTGGCATGCTGACAGGACAGCAGGAAGGAGTTCTGTTGTTCTGCTTCCTCCTTAAAATCATCCTCATCTTTCAGCCTATGATGGAGCTGTAGAGCAAAGCTTAGTGGGAGCAGTCGGAAAAAAAAAAAAAAAAAAAAGTCTTCATTTCCTACAAAATATACCATTTCAAAATATGACAGCATCTATTTGCATCTTGGGGTTAGCTGAGGTCTGCAAGAGGTACATGCAGGTCTTTTGAGGTGGCTTTCAGTAGAGGGGTTATGTTTCTCATAAGAAAACCCCTAGTAATCCTCCCCCAGCTGGGCACGCAGCCACAGCCACACTGTGCAGTTCATCTTCAATGAAGGGTGTGGGCACACAGGAACAACACGCATGGAGCAGGCCAGGATATCAGTTTCTGAGCAATGCTAAAAGGGATGTCCTGTTAACTCAGCAAACTGAGCACTGTTAGTTAACGGCAATCTATTTAGATCAACATTTATATACAGACATTTAGAATGTTTTTGAGCGCAAAGTCTCTTGATAATGTATATAACATTACATAAAATGTACTGTATATGCAAACTGAAATATTTATAAAAAACAGGGATGCATCGATATAGAACATTTTGGCTGATACCGATGACCAATAATATTTATATTTGAAAGCCAATAACTGATATATTGACCAATGAATCTAATTGCACGTTTTCATATAATTTGAGAGCCTGATTACAGAAACAAAAAAGTCTCACCATTAAAATCCATGTCCAATGCACATAATTATAATGTTCTTATAATATTATATAGCCAATATGACAGACTTGTATCGGACTTTCCGATAAAGACAACATCAAAAATGAACATCTGAAAAGTCCTATGATTTCCAAGGCGACTTAAATTATTATAATACAATATATTACGATTAATGTCAAGCACGCAAAACATGCACAAAACATAAACATTGGGATGTGTGCTGAATCATGAGAGAGCTATACAAGTCCAAGTTTATTTGTATAACACATTTCCCAATTTCAGTTTGTTAAGCCATATTTATAATAAATGTTTATGATTAATGCCACTATAATTTATATTTCTCAATCCTGTTCTGAATAGTTATATTTAAATTAGCCTATTTATTGTGAAGTAAGGGGAATTAAAATATGTTTATAGTGCTTCTAACTTTTGTAAACATTGTTTTATTTATCTTATATTTAGCATTGCACATTATTTCTAAATGTAATAAAATGTCACATACACTAATGCGACAAGCAAAAAAAAAAGAGAAAAAAAAAAGAGCTGAGGTGATTCCATAAGTATAAAATCACTAATATTCGATGCATCGCCAAGCTCCAATATATATTAAAAAAATTGTAAATAGACTTAAATAATAATATAACTTGTTTATTTGTAATAATGCATACCAGTATATGTATTTCTCTTGTATGTATGTCTCTTGTGGAAGACCACACCAATATCTATATATATATATATATATATATATTTTATGTGAAAGTCACACATATTGGACAACCTAAATGTCAAGATTATTGCCAGACAAGATCATTAATAAAATAGCCTAATTGTTATTTGTATTAAATAAACGGAAATGAGCAACAGTGAGGGTCAGCAAAATATCTCCTTCCCTAGGCTTCAGATGTGCAGGAATGCACAAGGGTCTTCATTTTAAATCACAGCTCAACATTCCTTCATGGATCATGTAATCCTTCTTATTGATCCTGGTAATCTTAGGCTGGGGCGATAGGGAAAGATAGGTAAGCCTGAGACCGGTCTCAGGCCGGTCAGCCTCCAAAGAGCACCCTTCATCCAACAATCACACCAGTCCAGAGTGCTACAGAAATGGACACAAAACTCTTTCATGCTCTTTCCAACTTTCCAGCTGTCCCTATATGGGGTGGATAGAGCACAGAAAGCAGTATTTGGGAAAATAGGCGGCACACTTGGGTGGAAAAGAGAGCCCACTTGGGTGGATGTCCCCTATCAAAACATCTCTTCGGGTGCCTTCAATCTGCTGACATCATGGTTTCCGCAGTAACCAGAGCTGAGTTGAGCAGTGCTGAAGGCGGTTTCATTTAAAAAATTGCAGCTTGATCATCTAAAATCGACCCGGCAGTGAGTGTTTTGAAAATGCACCGTCTTGCAAGTATGACCTAAATCAGATTAAGCCTTCAGTGAGTGGGGTTTGAATGAACCTCACTGACTCGCATAGATGCTCAAAGACTATAACTAAACCTTGTAATGACTCTCCAAACTGAATTTGACAGTAATAAACTGTGCTGGCTTTTTAACTCAAAGCAGACGTTAAAAAGACTACCAAGAGAAGACGGATCAGAGTGCCATGTACAGGGGTAGTGAGAGCAGAACAGCGAGGATTAGGATTATGCAATGCCAAGAAAAAAAGAGGGGTGGAGCGAGGAGGAGCCAGGAGGCGAAGAGATCTTGGCTGCAGGAATCTAGAACAAGTTTTGTTTTGTTGCATGTTGGGTGCATACCATAACCCCCAGAGCCTGGAGGGGCAGAGTTGTGAAAGCAGGAAGCCTGATAATGTTTTGCACTCGACACACGTGGTTTGTGGATTACAGGGCACAAAAGTGTTTTGTTTTGTTGCCTTCACTCACACAGGCTGAATGCAAATCACCAGAGCCTGTGGCAGAGGCAGCCTACTTAACAGGCGAGCTGTATGGAAACCTCAGCGGTAATAGAAGGATTTGCAGTTGACCAGCCTTTGCTCAATGAAACAAGGAGATTCCTGAGCTTGGTCAAGAGCAGATCTATCCTGTTATCAGTTCCACAGATCTGGGCCGCATTACACAGAGTCAGAGTTGTGTTTCTTGTCCTAACCAGCATGCATCCATTGCTCTGCTAAAGTAACAACATGCCCATGCTGAGAGGATCACTAGAAATTGACAAAGACCACCTTTATCCTCCAGCAAAAAAAAAAACAACAACAAAAAAAACAAACAAACTTTCTGTGCATGACACTAGTGATTTCTAAAATGAAATAACTTATGCAGAGGAAGAAAAAAAAAATCACGTTTCACATTTAAACCAGTAATACAGCCGCCTTGGTCTTTCATAGTCATGCCAATTTTGGCTAACAATTAATTGCCATAAAAATAATTAACTAGCAGCAATTAAAATGTTGGTTTTACAGAATGCTTGACATAAATACAACTTAAAGAGCCATTCATGTACTTGGAATCCTAAAATTTGCACTTTCAATGCATGTTAAACTTTGTTTAGCATTAGGGCAGCAAAAAGTACTATAGCACCAGAAGAGAGACAAAAAAAATGGATGGATGATGATCGCAATCATATGATGTATAAGCGCAAGAGCCCAAATGCTTCCACATCAATTTTACTTAGCAATGTTGGAAAAAAAGTGGACCAGTCTAAATCTTCAATCTCTTGTGCTTTTGTAACCTCTACAAATCATAATAGGAGTTGGTTACAGGGTGTGTGAAGTCCTTTGGTGAAATCAACATTTGAAATGGGGAAGCAACGCATTAGGAACTGAGAGCATTTAGAGAAGTCTGAAGTTGTGTGCTAAGATGACACTTGCTTATGTCAGGGCCTAATGACAAATCGTTTGAGATTTATAGTGGAAAACCAAAAATGATCAAACTAAACTGCTATGCTACTCCAAGTAAAAAAACAAACAAAAAACAAAAAACAAAACAAAAGAAGGAATAGCAATATTTAATCTAGGTTAGACAAACAAACCCTATGGGCAGAAAGTCTGATGATGTCAGAAGCAGACTGATGAAACGGTTGACAGCAGCGAGGCCTCGAGCACAACAGTGATGTGGTTTACACATCCTCCTAGATGTACGCACACACCATCTTGGCAAGGCAAGCTGCAAAACTTTTAGATGGGGTCTAAAGTCTCAAAGTATTTTAGTTAGGTGGCTATGACCTAAAAGTAACATCTGAAAAAAGCAGAAAAAAAAAAGTATAACTAGCATGATGATAGTTTAAAGGTGGGGAAAGTGAGATTTGAAAAGCGCTGTTTGGAAGTTAGTCAGACCGGCACACGAACAAACAACAGCAAACCTATGTAGCCAATCTCCAGCATTAGGGCACATATGACGGTGGAGGAGAGAGAACAAGCAAGAGGGAGATTTGAAGAAAGGCTGCAGAAATAGAGATGTGAAAAAAATACAAAAAAAAAAGCTCAGAAGAAAAATCACGGGAAAATGAAAGAATATGACTGGGCAAGAGCTTTAGGAGCCACGTTAATATTAGAATATCAGCTTTCCAGTGCTGGACAGAGAGAAGCAGGAAGGCCTGAAAATAGACACGGAGGTTGCTTTGATTCAGGTCCACACGCGAGTAACACTGGGTTTGAGAACAGATATCTACTCTTGGATTGCGTGCGTAACGGAGGCTAACTAGTGAGCGTCGTGCTGACACCTGCTAGAGAATGCGGCGTTTAGCGTCATTGTTAGTGCACTCGACTCGCATGCCGACAACAATTGCCCCAAACAAAACCCATTTCCTGCTAAATATACAGTTTCGCTCAATCACGCATTACAGAAATTAAATGCATTATGACTTCACATTGAAATCACGAAAAGCTCACCAGCTGAAATTCCCTGCGCCGGTCATATGCGTTCTGTATGCCGCCGTCAGCCCAGAGGGCACGGATCGATGGCAGGTACTGCAGGAACACACTGGTCTCCACCATCCCCTGTGCCCCTATGGCTGACCGTGTGTCAAAAGCCATCATGGTGTCTCCATGTGCCTGGTTTGATGGGTCTCCCCATGGGATATGCAGCTTTTCTCTGGCATCCACAAGCACTCGAACACCTGTGATGACAGCAATAGGAGGAACAATGTAAAAAAAGAGGTTTGAAGTTTAACGAAGCAAACAACATTAGACCCCAAACACTTGGAAAATTATCATTCTTTCAATTTTCATCAAAAGTTTATCATTTATTTATCACAACACAAGAAAATGGGTTTGTATGAAAGTAAGCATTATAACTGGGCAGTGGCCCATTAGGGAAATTAGTGAACTTATGAATGAGGGCTCATTTTTCACTGTCGCTTTCGAATTCGCCTTTGGTCTATAGGCCTATAATTTGCAGACATCAGGGAGCTGCGGATGTGAGCTCACTTTCGAATTCCCAATGAGTACTTTGTATATAGGGTCCAGTGGAAATGGCATTACATTTAGCAAGGTAAGATTTTTTTTTGTAACAACGCACAGGATCTGTTGCACACCAAATCCTCCGTAATCGTCCTGTCAGTCAACTCATCTCTCCTTACTCTAGTCACATAATAGTTGAAACATGACTCCTGCTTCACTATGATGCGACGCTGCATCTCGTGATGTAGACCCTTTCAGTTTATAATTGTAGCATCTGTTGTCCAATTGAAAGAAGCAAAACAACAGTGCCTGTGGTGGGCCAGCAATGAGTATGGCCGAACACAAAATAACACCATTAACTCAGACTAATGCAGCAAGCCTAATACATGCACGCATGTCAGGATAAAAAAAATGAAATGCAGAGCCTTTGAGAAACTTCACACAACTACAAGGAAATTCAGAACTTCACAACTGACTACCTGAACGATTAGTTGTCGATAATTTAATCGCTAAAACTTATCAATGGTGGATTAAGCAAATGGCTTAAGCAAGGCGTGTGCTCATGTGCAAAACAACTGCAGTGACACAAAAGGAAACATAGCGAGTGTGCGTAGTTACGTATTCTAAATGTAGTAATGCTTTCAAGCTAGTAGTTTATCATTATATTTGGCATTTTTAAGTTTTTCTGATTGGCCGATGTGTTGGGAAGCGTGACTTATTTTGTTGGGTGGCGCCCTGAACACCAGCGCCCTAATCACACAGCACTCACTCACATCCTGCGCCTTCATTAGTTCTCGATCTCTGTCAGTCATAACTAATACTTTGTTAGACAGAATTGGTAAAAAAAGTAAATGGTTAGTGAAAAACTTAAGCGTTTGCTTTTATATTTGTAACAGAAAAGGCAAATAATCAGGCTAAAATACCTTCTCCTTTACCATCAACATTCAGCAAATGCGCATCCACATTTAAACAAATCTCAGAATTTCTAAATTAACATTTAATTTGTACAAATCTTGCAGATTTAATCGAATCCAGCTATGATATCTTGTGAAGTGTGCATTTGCACCCTGCGTAAACATGTTACTGTGAGTGACGGGCGGTCCGGGTCCATGCAAAGTGAGTGAACGCGAGCAGAAGATGATCGAAAAAATACACGTGTTGGCTTTGTTTATTGTATTCTGCTAGTTCAACAATATCCGAGTGTGTGTGGTCTACAATGATTTTTTCAGATCATATTTTCATGTAAAGGAGTTGTTGTTTTTTTCATGCTATAAAAATAGAGCACTTCCAAAATCAGCAAATGTAAAGGCACTTGTGAAGGATTTATTCCCTAAACTCACTACAGCCAAGCTTCGAAGCTTTAAAACGACAGCTATTTGTCTGTGTTGGTTAAGCAAGTGGTTAAGTAACGTGATATCTTAGGATAGTGACTCCCAGAACAGGAATCGTGAGGCGAGGAAGAGATTTGATCAAAAAGGCTGATTCATCCAGTAAAGAAATAGGTGAAGTTTTTATGAGTGATTTATTGAATCATTTATTCAAAGCGATTTTATTAATTAAAATTCAAGAAAAAACAGACTGCAGCAATTAACACTGTCACAACCTCAAGTAAATATGTTATGGTATTTTGTTAGTTGTGATCTCTAGGCCTATTTGAACAAAAATAAATGATTCTCACACATTCCAGCATGTCAAGCATTCAAAAGGTACAACAGCATCAAGAGAACAACAAATAGTTTCAATGTAGTAGTGCATAGATTAATGGATAGCTGTTAACGTATTTAGCATTACTAATGACCTAGGGCTGCAGAAATACACAGAATGCAACAGATTTCCTCTAAATTCAAACTCTTTATTTTAAAAAGACACTATTTAAGACAGATAGATATGCAGAATTGCTGATGGTGCGCATACAACAGCACATGGGGCAGAAGAGACAGAAGAGTCACAACTATTGTGTACGGGACATGTCAAACTTAGTGTATGCTCATTGCTCTAGCAGATGTGCTCTCTCTCACACCTTAGCCAGTCACTCACTAACTGTGCTGTCATCATCAGCACATGCTACAGTGACTCTCTCAAGTGTCTACATTACTGAACATGCATTTAGTGCAACAGACCTTAAAATCTATGCTACAGATATGTGGAATAAATGAGTTCTGCAGCACCCACACAAGATGGGTCTGTAGGATTACAAATTTATTTAAATGTTTAATTTAGGTTCCAGTACAATAGTATATAAACTGAGAAACTCTAGTAGACTTATTGAATTTAGCATTTGAGGTAAAAATGAGCAAGAGATTCAGCCAGTCCTGGGGCCTCATTTATAAACGTTACGTATACGCACAAAAGAAGGCGTGCGCCGCTCTCTACGCAACAATTGTATTTATAAAAAGCTTGACGGGAAAATGTGCGGTCCTTCACGCAAGCTCTGACCCAGGCATACGCACAAAAACGGGTGAAATGAGAAATGGCGACACTGTCGGCAGATGGAAGAAACATGTGAAAGTGTGTGAAACAGTAGACTGTTGTGTAAAAGAAATGGCAATACTGGCTCTCATAAATAACATGAAGACTTCACAAAGCAAGCCTTACAATTAACAGCCTACACGAACACCCGTTTGATCGATCTGCAGTGTAAAACAAACAAAATCAAATGAAGATTACAACAGAAATGCAAATTAACACATTTGCAAAAATAAAAGTGAAATATGTTCTCTGCAATAATAATTACTGCATGTTATGCAATTCATCATAACACATCTGTAGCTTGTCGGATGCAATCAAATGGATGCTAATAAAATGCCATGATACCTTCAAAATGCGTAATGACGTAATGTGTAATGCAACCTTTTGCTACTCAAGTGTCTTTTTTGGAATTAATGGCCACAGTGTGGCCTCCAAAACAACATTTTACTCCTCTTTTCCACCTCGCAAATGATCATTTCTACTTCATATTGAGTGAAGTTACGTTTCTTGGCTTTCCTCTACGTGTTTGCCATGATTTCGCAATCGATGAATATTAACTTGTGGGCGTTTCACTGACAAAAGCTGCACTACATTTAGAATTGATTGTGATTTATTAAGGGAAAACTGCATAGGATATGCGTGCGCAAAGTTTTATAAATCCAAATATTTCTGTGTGTACGCATATCCTATGTTTCATCCGTACGCCACTTCTGACACAAATCCTACGCAAAGTTTTATAAATGAGGCCCCTGGTCTCTATTGTAAGATATTTCACATTCAAAAAAATCATATTTTGTTTTTATGCTCTGTCTGGCCATTAAGCTCTATAATAATGTGAAGATGTGGTTGATACAATCAGGCTGATTGGATTACCATCCATACATGACACTTTTATGCCGAATAGACCAGGGCTGGGGAATTTCCAGTAACGAGCTGAATTCAATGCTTTGTTGGAGAGTGTCTACACCTCAAATGTAACTCCTCCCCCTTGTAAGGTATAAGAACTCAAGGTATTTTACCTTTAGTTAGACTTGGCTAAGTTTTTTGGGATGAAGCAGACTACAGCAATGCAACAGCAATAAAGAACCATGCTTAAAAAGATACTACCGAGTCTCCTGGTCTTCACTTCTGAGTTTAACACTTTAAAAGAAAAAGTTCACAACAGGTCTCAAATTTCTTCTTAATTTATGCTTAATTGATATGCACAGTAATTACAGTAAATCTCAACTGCCCTCCACAGAGGCCCGTATGTGTCCTACAAAAGGCAGAAAGCACCAGAACAACTTCAGTTTGGTCCTCAAGTTATATGTCCCCTATTGTAATGTAGTATAGCAACAACATGAAAATCCTGTTTGTATCAACACAAAGATAAGAAGATTAAAGTTTTACTGATGTACTTGTCCCAAAAAACAGATAAGAGCAAGTGACATCACCTACATCACTCCTGGAAGAGGGTTTGAGTATCATAAGTGTTGGTCTCTAGTTTTGTACTCCGATTATCAGCGTAGGAAAGTTCCATTTAGGGATGTTAAAGTCGGCGTGAAACGGAAGTTGATGATTGTAATTTTTTTCTTTGTTGTGACGTATATCCGAGTGAAACAGCTTCTGAAATTAGAAAAAAAATGTAGGGCAGGGCTTGATTTCGTCATTTGGGATCGTTGGAGGTTGTGCGTTGCAAACAAAATGGAGGCAGATTTGAATGCGATTCTCTGAGAGGCACCCTCATCGGATCTGTAGGGCCCTATAAAATCTGTTTTATTTTTTCCCAAATTCATTTTTTTATTTTAATTTGTCAATTATGTTTTTTTACCCTTGACTGTTATTTTAGTCGTAAAAAGAGTGTGCTTTTAAAGTTAATGATTAAAATTTATTTTAAAAAATATGAATAAATTAGGAATTACCTTTAATTTATTGATGTAACAGACATTTACTCAGTAGCCTTTTCAGGACAAATACTGCATGATGCAACATAACACTGCACTCTTCAAGTAACAACAAAACAAATATCTAAATTAAAGTTGATGCACGTGAGCAGCGCATATTTTTTTGGGCATGCATGTTAATCAATGAGTGCATTCACCGGGAGCAGTGGCAACGGGTGAGCAGCAGTGAAACACGGGTTTTGGCACTTTGCTGCACTGCTCACACTCAATTAAAGTGAAAGCACACTTTTGATGGACAAAATAAATATGATTTCACACAAAATAAGCATGTCTAGTCAGTTTTTACAAGAACTGAAGTACGGTAA